GGGTTTGTTATTCACACTATGGAACCACATCGATGCACAACTCTGCAAGTTTGGTTGCTCTCATGTGCAAGCATTAGAATAAAAGTGGAGCTGATCATGCGAATGCATTTGGAACATGTTCAAGGCATGCTGCATTTTATCCTGGGTCTATTCGGGCGCATTCGCAACCGTTATTCACGCTACCAATGATGTAGATCTTTTTTTAAAAACTCAGGGGGAAACCTCAATATTGATTATCCCAGATTAAATTGGTTTTTTGGCAGCTCTGCCCCCAAACTTTTAATCAAGTACATTCGGGATGTGTGTGAACAACGGAGATTCCACTTGGATTCATCCTGGATTATTTTCACACCATGAATAACCCCCTAGTTCCACTCACCAGACCCCTGAAACTACATATGGAAGTAGGTCCCACTCTATCTCATTACGTCAGGTGAAAACTACAGCTCTCCAGCTGTGGTTCATCTGCAATTGTAGCATGATGGGACTTCATACCCACCAACTGTCCTGATTTGGCAAGGACACTTTTCCAGCTGCTTTTAAAATGTCCCAGTTTCCATCTCTTCCTCCCACTTTTTCCTTTTGCCCTCCGCTTACTTCACTGGCTTCAAACTGAGTTCAAAGTGGAAAAGCCATTTGCTTTGAATTAACTCATGGGGAGAGGAGTGGATGAAATCTTGCCCTTTCCAGGAGGCCCAGGCAAACGCAAACTGCTGCGGCCTCATCTAGCTCATCAATTCCTCCTCGTGAAGAACTTTTGCCATCTTGAACACCCTCAGGCATTGCGAGGCCACAGGCGTCCCAATTTTCATTTGTGAAACATTGGAGGGGATGTGCATCTCAAAGACCCCCTCCAACGCCTACTTGCTGTCATTGCAAAATTAACCCCTATTGCCCATTTTGAAAAATTTCAAGGTGAACCTTGCATGTGTGTATGTGTGTGAGTGAGAATGAATGAAAGAAGGAAAGAGGTTGGCAGCATGAGCTTTTGCAGACTAAAGTCTACTTCCTCAGATGCATATGTGTGTGAGAAAGAGAGAGAGAGTGCCTGATCCTTTCCAGCCAGAATCAGAGTCCAGTACAAGGAAGGGGCCGCTCACTGGACGCTTGCCCTGTCCATGTTTTGGCCAGCCTCTCCGTCCCTTCTCTCCTCCCATCTCTGCCGGCCCATGTGGCCTGTTGTCTCTCTGGGCGTTTTTCAGGAGGGACAGGCATCTTTCCAATTTCGGCTGAGGTCACGGGGTGGGGAGACTGTTGGGCCTCTGGTTATCTCTGAGTCCCAGCCACGGTCTGTGAATCCTCCAAAGAGGAAGGAGGTGTGGTTTCAAGTCTCACTTCCCAATTTTGCAAACTCTCAAAACATCTGTCTTCTCTTTCTGAGGCTGCCTTCCTAGCTAGAGGCAAGGTATGCTGACTCAGCTGGCATGCATGTTCCACGGTGAGGCTGGGCTTGCATCCGTCTCCTCTCCTGGGGCGAGAAAGGGCTTGAAAAGCAGGAGATTCCCTCCAGAAGCCAGCACCATGCAGTGGTTTGGGCACTGGACTACCAAGGCTCGAATCCCTGCTCACCCACGGAAACCCAATGGGTGACCTTGAGCAAAAGTTATACTCTCTCAGCCTCAGAGGAAGGCAACGTCAAACTCCCTCTCAACAAATCTTGCCAGTAAAACTCCATTCGCCTTAGGGGGGTCATAAGTTGGAAAGAACTTGGAGGCACACAACGACAAATATTCCCTCCATCTCGGTGCCAGGGGTGGGGAAGCTCAGAGCCTGCAGCTGAATCTGGCCCTCCCGGGAGCCAGATCTGGCCCACTGGGATTCTCCAGAGTGCCCCTTCCCCACAACACCATGATCTCCCAGCTTCTGCCTGGGGTATTTCGCTCATTCTAACACACTGAAAGGCCTCTACTTGCCCTTCACCAGTGGAATTCATTGCCACTGGGCAATAGGCAGAGACTTTTATAATTTTAGTTAAAGGGGAAAGGTCTAAACAAA